TCAATCATATGAACTACTCGGCCATCTATAATCCTTGTAACATTCTTAACATTTAACAAATTTTTCAGCTCTGTCTGCCATGTCCATATGACTGATCTTATAAGAGATTATCAACTTCTGTCATGGTGAATAAATGCCACTCAATTTTCCTTGGAGAAACAGCCACCACATACACTAAAGACACAACACTCTAAACATAAGTATCAGATTTGTTACACCACTTTCCTTTGAAATCTCACATATGACACGTAATGCAGAGACTGCGTCTAGATTAGAGTCCTGATCAAGTCGACCCCTTCGTTTAATTATGTACACAAAACAACAGAACAACAAACTACCTAAACAGCAAACATGCTTCAACAGACTCTATATATCTTGAAAACCACTACTAACACAGGGACTGAAATGTATGATTCCACATCAGAACCGAAAGAAATTTTAAATCCCTATTTTCTACTCCAGCATTGACGTCCTACACAGCCACCTCAGAGGTGTCCATGGCACCATTTTCCACCCCATCAAGCCCTGAAGAGATATCCACCAGTCCAGCTGCATCAGGGCTGACGGACACTGGTGTCACTCAGAAATCCACGAAGCAAAACACCGTCTCTGATACTACTCAACTCACAGACTCGCCTTTGACTACTGGTGGTGGAAGTCCCACGTCCACCTCAAGTCCAGGTGAATCCCTTACCTCTTCCATGGGTCATGAACAAGCGACCACATCTTATAACGTCGGAATGAATGTGTCCACAAATCTCTCAGCGCCATCAGCACACACCCGCCCCTCTTACACCACAGCGTCTTCTCTCCCTTCCAGCTCTCTACAGGAACTTTCTACAACCACCTCGACCAGTGGACGTAGCCCTCCAACTTCCACTGAACTGTCTTCTGTCCGCACAACCATTTCTGGGTCGACAGAATCAGACACTTCCTTTGGAACTTCCACTCCAGGGGCTGATACAAGTGCTGCTTCCTCTTCCAGCTCCAGCCTACTGTCTGCCACCCCTACTGTCTCAGCACAGACAGCCACAGATTTCACAGAAACACCCATTTTCTCTGCCAGCCCCCCTGCTTCATCACAACCTGCCGGTACCTTGAAAAGCACCATCACCACAGGGACTGAAATCTATGCTTCCACATCAGGACCTGAAGAAACCTTAACCACTTCTGGTGCTGATGGACACAGCACCCCGTCTTCTCCTCCAGGATCGACGTCCTACACAGCCACCTCAGAGGTGTCCACGGCACCATTTTCCACCCCATCAAGCCCTGAAGAGACATCCACCAGTCCAGCTGCATCAGGGCTGACGGACACTGGTGTCACTC